CAACAAACAGGACAGTGGCCACCTGGTAATTTTAACCAGCTCCTGATTGCAAAATCAAGGACCTGCTCCAGTCTCCATAGCCCTTTTTGGGTGATTCTTTGTCTCTGTGCAGGCTTCGGCCATTCTGCATTCACTCATCTGTACCCTTGTCTCCTGTGTCTACTATTATGGGCCAGAGAGCTTCCTCCCCTTTGTTACCCTTGCAACTCCTTCTTAATCATTTTAAGGATTTCAGGGAATCAAGCTGCCAGATATGGAGATGCTGTCTACCCTAAGAAGCTAAGAACATTCTGCGAACTCCAATGGCCTTCCTTTGGTGTCTCATGGCCCTCACAGGGAACTTTTAACTTACAAGTCTCTCAACAGTCCCATCAAGTCATTTTTGGGCCCCCTCATAAGCTGGCCACGCATCCTGATCAAGTAGTCTATATCGAAATTTGGATTGACTTGATCCAGGATCCACCCTCATGGATAAGAAAACTCCTACGGGAAGGACGGGGCGGGGAGCGCAACCTCCTCTCACGGCAATGATAAAAACTAAGGTGTCTCTGCCTCCTCCTGATGATTCCTCTCCTTACCGCCCTGATTGCCCAGGCTCATCAGAAACCTCCCTGCCAGTCCCTAGCCCGCCCAGTCCACCCCGTACTCGAAGCTACTGTCCCCCATCACCCTCTTCCACACCCAGCCCTGACTCCAGTGACCTACCCTCCATTCTACCCCTTCGAGAAGTCCCTCCATCAGACTCTTCTGGGATCTTTCTTCACCTATGTCCCCTTCTCTACCAGTACAATTGGAAATTACAGAATCTGCCTTTCTCTACGGACCCTCAGGCTCTACTATCTCTCCTTGAGGCCATTTGTTGCACTCGTCAGCCAATCTGGGATGACTGCCAGCAGCTTTTGCAGAATCTCTTCACATCCGAGGAACACGAGTGAATCCACACTTTGGCGTGCTGATCCGTCCTCGACACTAACGGGAGCCCACTTCATATCTAATGAGGCTCAGTGCTGTTTTCCTTCTCACCCATCCCAAGTGGAACCCCAACACAGATGTAGGTAAGGAGGCTTTGATCAGTATCACCAGGCTCTTCTTATGGCACTCCAAACTGCCACCCAAAAGTCTATCAAAAGTAATTGAATTAAGACAATTCGCCTCTGAGTCTTCGTCGGCTTTCCTTGAGCGCCTCCTAGAGGCCTATCATATATATACACCTATAGCCCCAGAGGCACCAGAAAATAGACAAGCTATTAATATAGCATTCATCTCTCAGTCAGCCTTGATGTTAGGCAAAAATTAGAGGATTTCAAAGGAATGATGACAGGTCAGTTGATAGAGATAGCCCAAAAGGTTTTTTACAACAGAGAAGACCTACAAGAGAAGAAATTAACCAAGATCTTGACTGTATTAGCAGAAGGACTCAAGGCAAAAAGGGAAAAGATCAACTAACAAAGACCCCACCAGACAAGAATCAATGTGCATACTGCAAAGAATTGGGCCATTGGAAAAAGGATTGCCTGAAATTAAAGGCCAAATTGGAGAGAGGGGAAACCACCCCTTGAGTCCTATTGGAAAAACGATTGACAATTTCAGGGTTCCTCTGCTCCCCCCGAGCCCCAGGTAACCTTAACTGTGGGGGTAGAGGGGGCAACCCATAAATTTCTTGGTCCATACTGGAGCCAGTTACTCAGTATTGCAGCACCGTCTTTGGGAGATATCCAAGAATACTCTAGCCATTCAAAGGCCATGGGTAACATCCAGCATTACCCATGTAAGATCACTCACTTGGGAAATCAGACTTTAAGTCAGATGTTGGGATCATGGCACCACCCAGTTGCTTATCTTGCAAAAAGGCTGGACTCAGTTTCTTCAGGCTGGCCAAACTGCTTTCAAGCCATTGTGGCCACTGCCTTAATGGTGAGTGGCCAATAAATTAACCTTTGGACAGAAACTCCAGATTGTGGTGCCTCATGCAACTGAAACTCTCCTCAGGGCCTCACCAATAGATGGCTCTCAAATGCGAGGATTGTACAATACCAGGCCCTCTTGCTTAACTCTGACCTTATTAAATTCAAGGAGACTACCGTCTAAAGCCCAGCAACTCTGCTGCCAGATGGTACCCACAGGTACCTATCTATGATTACTTGGGCTTGCTCTCTACCACTGCCAGCCTTCATCAAGACCAAGATCTTCCATTAGAGAATCCAGATGTTGAATATTTCACCAATGGTAGAAGCTTCCTCTTTGAAGGTAAATGGGTGGCAGGAGTGGCAATAACCACTCAAACACAAGTAATTTGGGCCCAACCCCTGGATCAAGGCACCTCTGCTCAAAGGACTGAACTCATTGCCCCCAAGGAGGCCCTAAAGTTGGCTATCTGGCTCCCCAAATCTATAGCAGTGGTGCATTGCAGGGGCCACCAAACAGGAAAAGATCCAATCTCGATAGGAAATGCACTCACTGACAAGAGTGCTTGAGGGGCAGCTCTAAAGCCATCTGTACGGCCTATTTCCTGCCAGTTCTGCCACTCTCGTGTTTGCCCCAATTGGTTTATTCCAAGACAGATCAAGAGCTAGCTAGACAACTGAGAGCAAAACAAGTGCCCCCTAAATAACTGGTTTCAATTGCCAGACAGACGAATTCTAATACCCACTGCCTTAGGAAGAGACTTGATTCTTCAAATCCACCAGGCCTCACACCTAGGGGGCTCAAAATTGGCTGAGTTGCTTCGGAACAGGTACTTCATTCCTAAGCTGACTAAGCTGGCAAAGGAAATCAGTTAATGATGCCCACAATGTCTACAAGTAAATACCAAAGTTACTACTATCTCAGAGAAAATTTGATATCGGGGAATCTTTCCAAGAGTTCTCACTGGGCAATTGATTTCACAGACATGGGAAAACCAGGATTACACAGACATAAATATTTGCTGGTTTTGGTGGACACCTTCACCGAATGGATTGAGGGATACCTGACAAACACTGAATTGACCTCAATTGTTGTCAAAACTTTTATATGAAATAATTCCTAGATTTGGCCTTCCCTTATCTATGGGGTCCAACAATGGCCTGGCTTTCATAGCTTCCATCACTAATAAAGTTGCTCAGTTATTACAGGTTGACTGGAAATTTTGCCATGCCTACCATCCCCAAGGTTCAGGTCAAGTTGAAAGGATGAACTGAACTCTGAAAGAAACGCTTAGCAAATTGATTTTAAAGTCTGGGAAAAACTGGATGAATCTCCTTCCTTTTTCCCTCCTGCACATGTGTTGTACTCCCTAAATAAATGGAGTAACCCCTTTGAGGCAGCCTAGGGGACACTGTCACCCCTCGTCCCCCACCTTGATAGTATTCATTTGGTAGAGACTGCTAACCACAGTTTGATTAAGTCCCTACAGGCTCTTCAACCTGTGCCGACTTCCATCCATCAACTCTTCCAAGACCACCAAGCCAAACCACATGCACCAGAGACACCTCAACCTGTCACTGACCTATATAGTACCTTAGACATAATGTTCCAATACCTCAACTGTAGCAATCCCAATCTCACCCAGGATTGCTGGCTATGTTTAGACCCAAAACCACCCTTTTATATAGGGGTAGCTCCACAAGCATCCATTGGTTCAATTGTCTCTTTGCAGATCCAGAACTCCTCCAACTTGGACTCTAACTCCCCTTGTTGGTGGGGACAAAAACCTGCCCTAACTCTAGGAAATATTCAAGGAAACGGAACTTGCATCCAATCTGATGCCTGTGACCTCAATTTTAGACCATACCACAATCTCTGCCTTAACCCTATTGTGGAAACAAATGTTTCATATTCATCAGGCCAACATTTAGAGGCTCCCAAAGGATTATGGTTTGCTTGTACTCCAGGGTTGACTCCTTGTGTCATGTTAGATGTCTTTACTAGACAAACTGAGCTATGCATTTTGGTCCATGTGTTCCCCTAGGTTTATTGGTATTCAGGTACAAGTGGACGAGAACACCTAATCTTGAATCAGACCTTTTTTGGTCACCTTGAGCAGCAACTGTTTTAATCCCAATCCTTATGGGATTGGGTCTATCTGGAGCTACAGATTTATGGACTGTAAATTTAATAGCTGGTGACAAAAATTATCGTGAGTTGAACACTCTCAGCAGCTTTGGAACATTCAATATCAAAATTAGAGGAGTCACTAGATTCTTTGGCTAAAACGGTCCTCCAAAATCATAGAGGCCTAGATTTGTTGTTTGTGAAAGAAGGTGGTCTATAATAGCATTAGGAGAGGCCTGCTGCTTGTATACCAATCACTCTAGAGTCATATGAGACAGTATGAACAAGCTTAGGAAAAGACTCCATGAATGAGAGTAACAGCGACATGATCAGAATTGGTTTCAAAACCTGTTCTCACTGTCCCCCTGGCTGACCACCCTACTCTCAGCTCTAATAGGACCAACTGTTCTCTTACTTGCTTTAATCGTCGGGCCATGTATTATAAAGTGCCTTCTAAATCACATCCAGGACTGATTTCAAGCTGTTAAAATGTTTATACTTAGACAAGGATATGATCAGTTATCTACAAATGACTGTGCAACAGAGTCAAAGATTTGACTCAATAACCAAAAGCAGTGAATATTATAAACTCAAAAATCCAAAATGTGCTGTACTAACTTTTCTTCCCATTAAACTTGTGTAATTGCCAGTTAAGTTGCAACCTTGTAACATATCCACCATGTAAAACACCCCCCCCCTCCCTGGTTCCTGTAGAACTAAGCCAAATTACCTTTTATGGAGACAAACTGATCCCAAGACCCTGACCCCTCCTCTTGTGGCTTACTACTTTACAACTCCCTGCAGCTCCACGTTGGGCACACACTTCCCTGGCTGGTTTTCTGGGACAGTGCTGCCACTGAGCTCAGCTAATAAAGCGCTTATTAATTTTTGGAGTCTGTCATTTTTCTGCCCATATCAAAGACTTCTGCTGAAAAATCATTAGGAAGCAGAAAGATGAACAGAGTATCTCTAAATAAAGATATTTGAGTTTTTATTAATTTATTAATACACATTGAGAGTACATTTGCAGTCATCTTACAGAGAATGTATATGTACATAACACATCGTGATTCTTTTTATTAGCTTTCCTTCACATTCTTCACACTCCGTCTATAGGGAGGTGCTCTTTCCCCATTTGCATTATGACTACAATTACTAGTATTATTGTTCATGTTTGTGATATATAAACATGCAAATAGTAAATAATGGAATACATGGCTATAGGGATGATTTTGAAACATTTGACTGGACACACTGAAAACATAAATTTAAGTGAAATAAATTAATTTTAAGTGATTTCCTAATGTGAAACTTTTCTGAATGTATGTATAGTTTTCAGTCATGAAAGCCTAAACTTAAGTTCTGCTAAAATTGTTTCTATCACCTGTGCAGCCAGCAAGGTACTGAGAGGTGGACAGGAGACAAGCAAACCTAGAAACATATTTAAAGAAAACCTGGGACTGGGTGGGATATGACCTCTCCGATAAAGCCAGCTTGGTCTGCCTCTGTATTTGTATGTGATAAAAAGGGGAGAAGGCAACAATAGAGTGAAAGTGCAAGTTCTGTGATTTGCTGAGAAGACTGAAAGTGAAACATTCTCAGGGCTACTAGTGCCATATTCAGAAGGGAGGAACACCAAGGTCAGACACCTGCTGCATGGGCTCTGCTCTAGCCCCAACTTGTTTACAAGGCTTGCCTTTGGTGCTCCATGTTCTTGGGGCTGGCCTTGCTCTAACTCAGAATGTGTCATGAATCTCCAGCTCAACTGTTCCTCACAAACTGTTTCCCAATTTATATCCTCAAAGAACTCATTTTACCTTTCTAATGACTTGAGTATAAATTTCATCAAACTATTAAATCCTTTCAGAAATACAGACACATTAAATTAACTGTGTAACAGCTGAAGAAAGCAAAGATTCTGGGGACACATCATGGAACTACAATTATGTTATATTTGTCTTAACTTGATAATTTTGTATTTATGCAAAAATATTAAAATTATAAATTATAACTGTACAGTTTGATATGCTGCTATGTTTGCACTGTGAAATAATTACATTTATGAAGAAAACACAAAGAATAACCCTCTCAGAAAATTCTAATGATCTATGGCTCACTATATCCATCATGGTCCTATGTGATCTGCAGCATCATTTTGTACTGTACATGAGAAACATTGTGCTTTTTCTTTGAACTTATACTCTGCTTCTGTGAGATTGTTGATTTTACATGCTTTTATGAATTGTATCTGGATGTCTCACCAAACCTTCTTATGATCACAGCTGCTATGGGGTATTCACAGCAGCTGAATGTAGTGTGTGTTTGGTCTAGTGTCTAATACTGATTTGGGGTCTCTGTTTCACCTGCCTTAGGGTGGGTAGCCCACACACAATATAAGGGAAAAGAGGTTTTCTGCTCCCTCTTTTGCTCTTGTTGCTTTTGCTGACTTTTGCCACCACGAATGCTTGCCCCTTTGCCACACCACAATGCCTCAGAGCCAGCTGATTGTGGACTGAAACCTCCACAAATTGTGAGCTAAGTAAACGTTTTCATTAACTTTGGGCATCAACGATTTTGTCTCAGCAATTAGAGAGAAGTGACAGAATTTGGTACTAGAGAAGTAGGTTTGTTGCTGTGATTACCTGGCTATTCAAAAGCCTTTGGGAATGACTTGTGGGAAAAATTTTGGGATGTTGCCTGAAACAGTACAGCTAGAATATCAGGCAGTTCTGCACTGGAGACTCTGGGAAGTGCTCCGAAGACCAGAGCTGATACAAATATTTGTTGGTAAAGACTGGGCTTGGGAGGTTTCTACTCTGAAGGACTATGTAAGTTGCTGGACTCGAGACAGTGTATATTGTGGCTCGGCAAAGTTTGTCTTCATTTTGCTCATTTCTGAAGACTTTGCCTGAGACTAACATTGATGGTAGCAAACTAATGAATCTGGCAAAAGAAATTTCAAGGCAGTCGAATGCTGAGGTGGTGGCATGGCTATTGTTGGGGGCTTTTAGTTCTTGACTCGCAAAAACAAAGATCCCAGCAGAATGTTTTAAACTTCGTGAGTTTGGCCACAAGGGAACCTACAGTAAAGCAGCAGACTGCAAAGACAGAGAGAAAAGATCTTGATTGCTAAGAAGGAATAGAATACTAATGATGGTCTGAGGATATCACAGGAAGCAGCAAGTCTCAATATCTTCAAACATAGAAATCATATGCGTTAATCTGCAAGTTGGCTGAAAAGAGATTAATATGTAGAAAACAATATGAAATAAACATTACAATCATAAACCATTTCAATGTCAAATTTTTAAAAAATTGATGGTGCACAAAGCAGGTAAATGGAAGGTAGTATGAGAAAAATTTACAAAATACTCAGTTTTGGGGTCATGTTACCCCACATTACTAAAAAAAAAATCAAAGAAAATAAAAAGAACCACCAAACTTCTAAGCTTCCTAGTATGTAAACAACACAAACACACCTGCAGATACGTCACCATACAAAATAAATTATGACCTGATTTGAATAGTCAATCACACACACACTATTTCTTATAACATATATTCAATACATTTATACTCAAAAGGCAACTTATAAATATCTACCCCGAGATCTACTTCAATGATGAGTTTGCTGTATTTATAATTTATCTCCTAGTGCTATATTTCATAGAAAATGGATATCCCATTTGTGCATGATTTACTTATACAAATTTGCATTATATGAGAAATATTCAAAGGATTTTCAAACTGAGGTATACCTGAGTACATTCATAGGAATTTAATCCAATATGCAATATTCTATTTATGACAAAGATTTTTGGAATATGAAAGAAAGCAAGACAAAAGAGCTATCTCTCAAAACCTACTTATTTCTCCAGTATGAAATGCAGTGTATACATGAAAGGTCATGTTAAAATGGGGACAACTCAAATCCTCCACTTACTCTCCCTTTGTGTAAATGCATATTTTCTGAGGTTCCAAAAATCACAAAACGCTTTGTAAAACTATCCACATAAGGTTTCTTTCTAGTGTAAGCTTTTGTGTAATGCGAAACGGAAAAATTAGTTTGCTACAGTAATTACATGCGTGTGGCTTTGCTCATATGAGAATTCTTTCGTATTTGAATACATTGAGAAACAAAATCTTTCCCACATTGTTCACGATGTTAAGATTCTCATTACTTACCCCTTCAGTTTATGTAATGATATCTCTATGTAATCAAAGATTACTTCAACTCTTTACAATGATTTCTTTACAATGGCTTTAAATGTTTAAGTGACTATACACAGGCACACACACTTTCCCTAACATTTTTTAAGTCTGTGGTGATTACCAGATTACTGAAGGCTTCGGTCCACTGTTTTTTCTTTTCCACAAACTTTATAATACATGTGCAGTTTATGCATTTTCGAACAATTTAAATACATAAGCTTTGTACCCTTAGAGAACTTTCACATCTTTGGAAGTCACTGGATCAGCTGAGATCATTCACACATTGCTTACATACAGTTTCCCCTCAGATTTGTGTCTTTCACATTTTTAGCATTTCTATTGAAAACTTCCCTATATTGTTACATAGTCATGGTTTCTACTACTGTGAGTACTTATATGTCTTTTACACCGACTGTGTCTGGTGAAGGTTTTCCCATGTTACATACATAAGCATTCTCCCTAAATGGCTTCTTTGTTGTGTGTTACAGTAAATTTGTCTGATGAAGATTTTGAAACACTATTTACATGCATAACGGTTTCTCTTCAGTGTGAGTTCATGTCTTTTAGAGTGATTGTGTGTGCTATAAATGGTTACATACTTAGGATTTCTCCTCATAGTGGGTCCTTTCATGTGTTTTACAATGACTGTGTCTCGTGAAGGCCTTCCCACATTGATTACATATATATGGTTTCTCTCCAGTGTGAGTTCTTTGATGTATTTTACATTTGCTTTGGGAAATAAATGCTTTCCCACAATGGTTACACACATACGGTTTCTCCCCAGAGTGAGTTCTTTCATGTGTTTTCCAGTGACTGTGTGTGCTGTAGGCTTTCCCGCACTGGTTACATACATAAGGTTTCTCTCCAGTGTGAATTCTTTGATGAATTTTATATACACTTTGTGAATTAAATGCTTTCCCACACTGGTTACATACAAAGGGTTTCTCCCCAGAATGAGTGCTTTCATGTCTTTTACACTGACTGTTTGTGGTGTAGGCTTTCCCACACTGATTACACACATAGGGTTTCTCTCCAGTGTGAGTTTTTTGATGTAAACTATATCCACTTCGGGATTTAAATACTTTTCCACATTGGTTACATATATACCGTATTTCTCCAGTGTGAGTTCGTTGATGTAGTTTACATTTACTTTGGGAAATAAATGCTTTCCCACATTGGTTACACACATATGGTTTCTCCCCAGAGTGAGTTCTTTCGTGTGTTTTCCAGTGACTGTGTGTGCTGTAGGCTTTCTCGCATTGGTTACAAACATATGGTTTCTCTCCAGTGTGAATTCTTTGATGTACTTTACACACACTTTGTGAATTAAATGCTTTCCCACATTGGTTACATGCATAGGGTTTCTCCCCAGAGTGAGTTCTTTCATGTCTTTTACACTGACTTACTGTGATGTAGGCTTTCCCACACTGTTTGCATACGTAGGGTTTCTTTCCAGTGTGAGCTTTCTTATGTATTCTATATCCACTTGGGGATTTAAGTGTTTTGCCACATTGGTCACATACATACAGTATTTCTCCAGTGTGAGTTCTTTGATGTAGTTTACGTTCACTTTGGGATTTAAATGCTTTTCCACATTGGTCACATACATATGGTTTCTCTCCAGTGTGAATTCTTTCATGTATTTGATAATACTTGTGTGTGCTAAAGGCCTTCCCACATTGTTTACATACATAGGATTTCTCTCCAGAGTGAATTCTTTCATGTCTTTTGCAAGCTCTGTGTGTATTGAAGGATTTCATACATTGCATACATACATACTGCTTCTTTATACTGTGAATTTCTTTGCCTTTCCAAAATGAAATGTTATTATTGAATACTGCCTCACACTGTTTACTCATATAGTGATTTTCTACAGTATTAGGTTTTTCATGTAGCTGAATATCATGCTGAGAACTAAGATCTTTTTCATATGGTATACATACATAGTTATTCATTATACTAGGATTTCTTTCCCCTATTTGAGTATAGTTGGCTGTATTGAAAGCTTTCACATCTTGGTCAAAGACAAAGGACTTCTCTTCAGTGCTGCGTCCCTCAAGAGGATCAAAGTAGCATTTAAAACTTTGCTTCTTTTCTCTAGGAATTTTGTCAGAAAGCTTGGGAAAGCAGTGGATGTTTGTACAAGTCATTCCATCTTCAAATCCCTGACAGTCATGTGGTTTGAGTCCAGTATTAGCTGTGATGGGAACTTTTGGCAATAATTTACCAATTATGGGTTTTCTGCAAGCATCTGGTACACATGGTTTTGTACCAAATGGTTTCATGTTCATATTAATATCTGGGGTCCAAAATCTCACTTCTTCATGCAGATACCCTAATTTATATTGTAAGCATTTAACTTCTTCCATTCTGTAAAAGAAAAATAAGAGAATATAATCACCCACATTTAAACATATTTTTATTAATGATTTATCATGCTATCAGATTTGTTGCCTAATAATACTTTACAATGAATTTACTGTATACTCTGAATAGTAACTCAAAAAACACATACTGAAAGCATAATGTATATTTGTGAGATTATAATTCAGATGACTGCAATAAATAATGCTTTCATTTTGAGTCATTCATACACACACACACACACACACACACACACACACACACACACACATACACACCACATGTGGGCCACTTTTGATACTATTTCCTCCAGGACTCAACAGCTCCTGCCTTCCACTGAATTGTCAGCATGCTCTAAACTACCTATTGCTTTCTTTTCTGCCATCTGTCCTTCCTTTTTCCCCTTAATTCATATTTTTGGCTTTTCATACAAAAGTTAACATGTACAGGCATTTCTGTCTCACATATTTGGTATAAGATTAGGATTAAAGAATCCATCCACCTTTTGTTAAGTGGCATCATTTCATTGTTCTCTATGGCTGAGTATTTTTCTATTATAGACATACCACAGTTCTACTATGATATCAGTGTTGGAGACAAGATTCCAGAGTTGTAGCATTGAGGTATAACCTAGGCCTAATTTTCTTTTTTTATTTTAACATAGTTTCATCAAACTTTCTTACCTATTATAGCTTCACATACTGCTAAGATTCAGAACATGTTAAATCCATGTTGAGGCACTCAATTGCCTTAAAGTATTCATCTGTGGAAGAGCATGTAGGATATTTCCTGAGCTTAGCTTTTGTATATTGTGTTGCTACAAAGATAGGCATGTAGGTATTATTATAATAGGATTACTTTACCCTTGAGAGGAAGATACCCAGGGGAAGTACAGCTGGATAAAACAGAGTTTCTATGTTGTGGTAGACATCAACTCATTATATAGTCCCAAGTAGCACTGACTCTCTATGTAGCCCAGTCTGACTACTACCTCATGGCAATCCTCCTACATCAATGTCCTGAAAGCTGGAAAAGTAGGTATGTACCACTATTTCAGGCAAAATGAAATTTCTCTTTTCACCTTTTTCAAAAATCTCTATGCGCATTTGCATTAAATGTTATGATTTATGATTTGTCCATCAAGAATACGGATGGTGTATCCTAATAATTAGGAATATGAGTGCACTAAATAGTATGGAGGATTTTCTAAAAACTGCTATTTATCAAAGTCATGGCATTTATTTGTTTTTCTTCATGATTAACAATTAGGCAAATATTAAATGCATTTACTACTTTTAAATAGATAGCATTGTTTACACAATTTGTTTCACATGAAGATAATCTTTACCACATACTAACATGTATGTGTAATTACATATCCTGAACTTGAATTTTAGTCCAAATACAATGCATGTTTTATATTAAGTTACATTCAATATTTCTGTGAAATTTCATAAAACAGTTTTATATTCTTCAATGTGGAAAATAATTTGATTCTTATTCATCAGAGATGATCACTTGTAGCATAATGTCAGTATTCCCTAAGTTGGAGACACTGGAGTATTTCCACAATTCAATTTTCACAGTACAGATATCAAACATGTATGTACGCATCTACAGAGAAATTGTATAAGATTAAAAATTTTGAAGATGGCCTCTCATGTACAGTATGCTTGGTTTTATTATTTCTGACTCTTCCAGAACATTCACAATTTCAAAATGAAAATTACCTTATATTTCTCTTGTACTCTTTGTATTCATGTTCAAATTGCTGTTCATTCCAATTTTTTCCTAAAGTGTACAAACAGAATTATAATGAACTATATTGCTTAAAAATTAATACATGCCAGTTAGAATTATAACAATGCAATCATGAATGGAAATGCATTAAAATATCTGTATATCATAATTAAGGAAACTGCACTGATGTGCAACACCCTATTTTATCAGATACCATAGAGAAAATGATAACTTTCCTTACCTATAGCAACCATGTTCTGAAAGTTTTCCCACATCACATCTCTATAAAGCTTCTTTTGGGAGGGTTCCAGCAACGCCCACTCCTCCACGGTGAAGTTCACAGCCACATCCTCAAAATTCATCACCTCCTAAATCATCAGACAGATATATTGAGGAGGAAGACTGAGACTATGATATCATGAACCACACTGACTCATAAGTATCTCAAGTGAGGACATGACCACTCAGCCTACATGGGTTAGCAAATGTAGCTCCAGCCCAGGCCAGAACCATAGCAGAGCAGACAGGAATCAGAAGGGACACAGATGCTTGCCCAGCCATTTGGGAGCAGTTGACACTGAAATCTGACTAGACCTGTGGAGGAGAGACAAGTTGGGTCAGAGAACAAAGATCGCCCAGGGCGATCACAAAAACAAGTGACTCTAGGCCCCACAGCTTCAAACCCTTAGGTTGCCATACATGCAGACTCACTAAGCAAGGAGGTAGCAAGTAACATTAAGGTGCTGAATGTATATAATAAACATGTGGCTTTGGGGGAGTTAGTTCCCTTCTCCTATCAGGATGGGTTCCACCTGACCTCAGCTTTTATCTTTTATTTTTCCATCCTCCAGTCCCCTACCCCCAACATCAAGCCCAACATCAAGGGCTTCATAGGATGTGGCATATAGTACCTAAACAGAGACTGAGGGGAAACAGTTTTCCCCTGACGCTAAGGAGCCTCTGCCAGCAGGAAAGTTGGCCCACATTCCAAGCAGCAAGCAAGTTCTTCAGCTGGATGCAAAAGCCACAAACAAACAAAATCAGGCACCCAAGTATAAGACATGGGTTTGTCTCACACATAAAAGACAAAATTACCATTTGTAATATGAGCCTTAGGGAATCATTTAACTGCTCCAACTAATCTTTATTCCCTCTGACAATGTTTATACTTGCAGTGTGATGCATCACACTTAAACTGCTACCATTGATACTAAACACAAAGATCTCTTTCATTGATTTTGCCCTCTCCAATTTGCTATTTTGCTCATCAAGTCTCCTGTTTTATTGGTCATTTATGTTCTCATTCCCAATTGTCAAGGCCCCTCACTAAAAGAAAATGCTACACACAGGTTGCTAGCTACTGTCACTATTAATCCCTCAGAAGCCATTCAATGGGTTAAAAGTTGTTTAAAATCTCATAAAGATAGCAGAAGAAAGACAATTCAATCAAGTGAAAGAGAAGTGGCTAGAAGAGTCCTTTGGAGAGATCTTCACACTGGACAATGAAAGCTTTCAGGTCAGGGCTATTTGGAGGTTGAGGGTACATTTGTGTTTTTACAAACAATGCTGAACTTCCTACTCTGGTATCAGAGCATGTTGTCTGGCACTCCTATGGAACCAAACCCAGAGAAAGAGTGGATTCCAACTCTCAAGAAGTTGGTGCTTGGTCCTACAACAGTGATCACTCAAGTTACACCACAACTGAGAGAAAAAGATGGGCTAGACATGACCTAAGATCAATTAAACGAGTTGATCCAGAATACCCAGTACATGGAAATGAAAAATAGAAATCAAAAGTCTGAGTAGGTGACTAAATGTACAGAGATAACTAAACTGAAAGTTACATGAAAGAAGGGGACACAAAAGTCACCAGTATTCTTGAGATAAACACAAAAATATTCATTAATTATAGGTAAGATTTTCTTTCTTCCAAATTCTTCTTGCAAAAGATCTTTGATTACTGACCTACAACAAAATCTGACTAGCCTTTTTATAGGTATAACTTCTAAAATTGTAAAAAGTTATTACGATTCCATGAGGTCAACATATTTTCCTTCTTTCTTTGGCAATTTTCGACCAGTTGATCAAAATTTAGTTTGGATTATAGATTTTAAAAGCATGCTTCCAATTGGGATGCCAGCTGGTCACAACGTTCCTAAAATTGGTTGTGTAAATGTAACATATATTGTTGTTTGTTACGATTTGAGAGCCTTTCCCTGTTCACAAATAATGTGTTAAGTGTTGTGATTGGGTTTTCATAAGTGATCAAAACATTATTAAGTTTTTAAAACAAAAATCCCTTAGGTGTGTGGAGGGAATTATTGGACACGACTTCAACTGATGAATAAGAAAGCAGCTGCCTGAAAACATTAACCAGTTGTTCACTGATGGAGGCCCCAGTGATTTCCACAGCCTCATGGAAGACACCCCAATAAAATTATTAAAATATATTATTGACTTCACAATGATTATCATCAAAAGACTAAATTTTCTAGACCATAAGATTTTTGATTTAAAGATGCTCTGATAAAAAGGTTTTCATATGGATATGACAAATGATTGTGATTAACTTCATGGCGTATTAAATACACTCATACCTCCAGATGTATAGGTATTCAAAAATATAAAACAAGGATTGTTTATAGAGATAGACTTTTGTATCATCCCACTAAAAGTAAACAAGTTAGGTAAAAGCTTCTTCTGTATTAGATAAGGATAAGTAACTAGAAGGGGGTATTTTAGGTCAAAATGGAAATTCAGGTATGTTACAAAATGTCATCAGGAGTGTCTTGCTATAACATGTATGGTATGGATTTCTAATTTTCTGTGTAAAATATGAAACTGTTAACATCCTATAGGGATTCAAATGTTAAAATATCCATGGTTAGTAGAAAATAACAGTTGCGTTTTATGTTCTAACGTATATAATATATAGGTAAGATAGTAATGTTAAGCTTACTGCCTCTACTACACTGTACTGTTACCAATCTTTTCTTCTGGATGTTCAACACCTGAGGTTTAGAGATCAAAAGTTAAGAGATATTAGTGGGCTAAGAAGAGAGTCAGTATTTTGGTCTTAGCCCTCTGAGGTCAATGACAACCAGGACATTACAGAACCTCTGCTGTGACATCCTATACTTGGTGACTCCCTGGTCTTCTGATCAAGAAGATTGTAAGACTACAGAGGAAAGGGATCATCCAGTTGTTTGATGTGTCTATGAAGAGTCACCATGAGAGAAAAATCTCCCTTTTTACAGAAGGCAAACTGGTCAAACAATTGCAATGATTCACCCTGACAGCTGACACTGACAGAGAAGTTAATAGGTGCTGTGCATGGTTCAAAGTAATTCCCAAGGAGACTTAATAGACCTTAGCATACAGCAAAAGACTGCTTGTAATTAATACAGGTCACATCTTATCTTGTTCTTTAACCTCCTGCAGAAAAGTGCATCTATGAGAGGTATAAAATAATGCTATTATAAATGGTGGCCATAAAAGAAACCCAAATCACTAACACCTGACAACTGTTGGCTACCCTAGTAACTGATAACTGTTATACATTAATGGGCTGTACAGGGTTTAATTGCTAAATGCAGGGATTTAAAATCTTTAGACTGGAAATCTTAAGACTAAATTAGTAAATTCACTCCAAATAGAAAAGGTTCAAAACTGAAAAAGATCTACAAAGTTCTCCAAACAGCTCCTCCAACTTCAACCGATCATCCACTCCTTGCAACCATAAAACAGAAAAGTGGGAGACATTCAGAGCAATGAAGCTATAATTTGACCACATCTGTGTGGGTGAGACAAGCCACGTCATGATCAAAGATCACATGGGGCAAGCCACAAAAACAAATGACTCTAGATCCAAAAACATCAAGCCCTTATGTTGCCATACATGTAGATTACTAGACAATGTGACAAATTTGGTGTCACATGACATTAAGTAAGTACGAAGAGGAAAGTCATTGCATGCAGGTTTCTGGTATATGTTAGATTGTGTTACACAACTGTAGAAGTTTCTTCTATGATTAAATGTATCTGGTTAATAGTTACTATAATATGTCACTAACCATGCTTTGTTTGAGACTATTGTAACTGCTAACTATACTATGCTAGCCAATATGCTATACCTATTACAATCAGTTTCATTCCCTTGTAAGATAAACTGATTGTATGGGGTAATAATCATTACCATAGTCTAGTACCAAGGGATTGGGTGCTGAGCCAAATGCACAGTAATTTCTCATTCTTAATACAATAGAAAGATAGGTTTTCAGCATCCAAGAATACCTACATAGAGAAGCTAGCCCTGAGCAACAGATATTTCCTATGAAAATCTCGATGCTAGAGATAAAGCTATTTACCATAAGAAATGTACAACTGTAAACACACAAAGGAAAATAAAATAAAGTAAAAATTAGAAAATGAAACAATGCAGAAACAAAGTCCTACCCAATATGACCAGCCAAACCAGGACAAATTCAGAGCACAATGCGATAGAGAAAATCTGAAGCCAACCACTGAAAATTTCTGGAAAGAAAATGGCATAGTTGAGAACACAATGGATGAAAGTAAAGGGAAAAACCCTCTAAGCTACACAAGGAAACAATGATCAAAATGAAAGACATTAAACCAGATGTAGATTTTTTTAAAATCAAAAAAAAAAAAAAAGGAAAATGACAGAAATTATACATGCCCAACAATGAAAGGAATGGAATCTATGAGACACATTCAAACACAAATCTAGGAGATGAAAACCTGCACTGAGAGAATATGCAACAGAGTAAATAAATGAAGGCAAGGACAGACTATCAGATCTAGAAGACAGGACTGGGCTAGCAATTATGAAAAGGAAATATTTTAAAATAACAAGAGACCATAAAAAATCAATCAAACATCCCCACAGTGAGGCAAGTAGAAACACAAGATTGATTGGAGAGAGTCAGGCAGCATAAAAGTCATAAAAAATTCTTCACGGAAATAATGACAGAAAATGTCAAGCATGGATAAAGAATCTGACATGTGAATAAATGAAATATATATAATTCCCTATAGCCATGATGAAAATAAATGTACACAAAAGCATACAATAACCAAGATTCCAGAATTACACAAGAACAGAATAGTAAAAGTGGTTAGAGAAACAAACAAAAAACACCTATAAGGAAAGCTTATTAGAAGCCCAGCAGAGCGCGTAACAAAATCTCCCATATCAAGGAAAACTGGGAGTGAGATATTGTAAGCCCTAAAGCAAAACATCCTTTCAGTGAGACTGATGTACCCAACAAAACTATCTCTCAAGATTAATGGAGAAATAAGATACAGGCATGACAAGGAAATGTACAATGAAATTGCAAATCAACAG